TGTGACAGGTAGGAGAGCTGGCTGCCAGTGGATGAACACCAGGGGCTGCTCAGGAAAGCCAGGTGAAGTCCCCTAAATGTCATTCCTATGAGTATTCCCAGTTCCTGCCGTCACCCACCCTCACCCAGAGGGCTGCCAGAGCCCACACACAGTGCAGAGAGACCCAAATCCCCTCTCAGACCCCACACAATCCTCTGCTGTCACTTCCTGACATCCCCCTTTTCCCCTCACCTGGGAAATACAAACCCAGGTGTCTCAGCTCTTTGTCCATGTCCCCATCCGAGGGAAGCACGCTGGTTTTGCTTAGACACCGAGAGTTTATTCCTGGCTGGACCCTGCTGGGGATGATCTCAAGGAGTGACTGGGTTACACCCTTGGACTCATTCATTAGAGCAAGCTGATGGGATAAGGAATGTCTTGTGGCAAAAGGTCAGCCTGGGAGGCTTTGGAGGCAAGGGAAGGTTTGGCAATGTGTGCTGGAGAGGAGCTGACTTAGCACCCAGAGCCTGCAGCCTGCAAACTGAGCAGGAAAATCCACGTCTGGCTGGTTTTGCTCATAAAGAGGGGTTGGAGTGAGGTCATTTTAAGGTCCCTTCCAACCCAAACCACTCCATGATTCTGCAATGAAGTCTCCCAGGAGAGCAGCCCCTGCAGCCACTCTGATTCACCATGGCCAGGAGGAGAATTTGCCTTCTCCAAGCACCATCAGGGAGAGGGAGAATCACTGCAGAGAGCCTGACTTCAGGGCTGAGCTTATGGCAGGACAGACTCATCTCCTGTCTCCTGGGAGCTTTATACACACTGTGCTCTGAATTTTCCAAGTGATTTATTTCTTTTATAGGAAGCTTCAGGATTAAGTGTCCGAAAGATTTTTTTTTGTTGATCTTTTATTTTCCCAGCCTCCCTTAAAACAGAAACTACCTGAACATTATCTGGCAAAGCCATAAATCCTGCACGTGTGCAGCACGGTGTTAAGGTTGTTGTGCTTTTGGGAGTTTGGGATGTTGGGCTGAAGCTCAGTTTTGGGCAAGATTTGCATCTTGCAGACTGTGGTGTGCAGGGAGTAAAGGCTGGATGACTGCAGGAGGGCTGGGGTGGGGGTGTGACAGCACAGCTGGTGGCCCTGGGCCATCCAAAAAAACCCCTGCACATCAACATCTGCCCTGGTGCTGGGGGAGATGCGAAATGGAGAAACAGAGAAGGTCCATGCAGTGAATATTGCTCTAAAGAGAGCATTGCTGAGCCTCCAGGGTAGAAATGATGTGCAAAAGGTGATGGACTGGCTCAGCAGGGCACTGCTGATGCTGTAAGACAGGTGAGGATTTGGGGAGAATTCCTGTTTTCCTCCTGGATTTAGCCTAAATTCTCCAAGAGTTCATTCACAGAGGGTAGAACATGGAATTGTTTGGGTTGGAAGGGATCTTTTAAGTCATCCTCATCCCACCCCTGCCATGGCAGGGACACCTCCCACCATCCCAGGCTGCTCCCAGCCCTGTCCAGCCTGGCCTTGGGCACTGCCAGGGATCCAGGGGCAGCCCCAGCTGCTCTGGGCACCCTGTAAAAGCTCCTTAGATCTAATCCAAATTGTTCCTATTTTAGTTTAAAAGCTCAAACCATCACTCCTTGTCCTCTCACAGCTGGCCCTGCTCCAAAGTCTGCCCCACTCTTTCTTACAAATCCCCTTTAAATCCACAGAAATATCTCCATGAAGCCTCCTCCTGTTATAAAATATCTCTTCTTGAGCAGCTCCTTCCTCTCAGTTTTGTCCTCAAATCTGTTTTTTTAAAGGATAAAACATCTCCAGGTATTCATCCCTAGGTTGTCTGAGTTTTAACTCAGCCACTAAATAAAAAAACTGTGTTGGGGACACAACTTTTTCTCCCAAGAAGTCACCTCTGAATATCCCTGTTGTGCTCAGAGCTGGTTCTGGGGTGGTTTTAATCCAAATCTGATATCTCAGATGTTGAAGCTTGGGAAAATGTGCTGTTTAGAGACTGGAAAATCTCTGAGTTCAAGAATCCCACCTCTAAAAGTCCTGTGGAGTCTCCACCTGGAGCTCCCAGAGTTTGCAGCTCCTATTCCAAACCCAACTGAAAAATACAGGAGAAAAAAAAATAAAACTGAATCAAATTAACCCAATTTTTCTGTGTTTGATCCTCAGGTAAAAATCTTTGGAACCTTTACCCTTTGAAAACACAGAGCTCTTTAAGCAGGACTGAAGGTTGATTTCTCACCAAGTTCAAGATTGCTCCGTAATCAAGTTTGATGATGGGAACACCGAGAGATTTGTGGCTCTAAAGTCCTGGTCTACCACAGCCAAAAACAGAACTTGCACTCCAGGGCAATTTCTGACATTTGGGTTGGGTTTTCTTTATTTCAAAGTGAGATGAAAACTAGAAATACAGAAATTCGCTGAATAAAGACACCCAAGGTGTTTTTTTTGGTTTGTTTTGATTTTTTTTTCCTGGGGAAAAAGGTGAAACAAACTTTTGTAATTTCTTAAGGAATGGATTTCCTCTCCAATAGCTGAAAATGCCTCCCCTGCTAATATTCCCCTGTCTCTAAATGAGGTTTTCTTCTAGAACATAAAGCTCCAATTTAAAAAAAACCCAATTCCCATTAAAAACACCCAATTCAGTCTATCACTGATGGAATTATTGCTTTAAGTGAAAAGGTTTTATCCAACCTCCAGTCCAACAGCAGATCCTGAACCCTAATTAAAGGCTTTATTTTAATAAACATTTTCAAGCCACTGCACAGAAACGCCTAACACGTCACAGAGGAAGAAAATCTTGAATTATAATTATTTCAGTCCCCTCAAAATGTGTTTTTATTTTGGTACCACAGTGAAAGGACAAGGAATGAGCACTACAACCCTCGAAGGCAAAGGCATTGCATCGTGCAGGAAATATTTGTGAGCTTTGCACATACTTTTGCCACTGACAAGAAGCCAAAAAAAAATGACTCAGACAATTTGTCAGAGGAGAAAATTCGCAGCTGAGAGCCTTGAATAGCTGAAATATGAAATGAGAGAATGAGAAAGAATTGGGAAATGTGTCAGCAAGCAAAGAAATAAATTCAAAACTCAGAAAACCCTCCGAAATGTACAAGGTGGTTTCCCCCCAGGATATCTTTTAGGTCATCAAAAAGGCCAAAAAAAAAAAAGAAAAGGTAGAAAAACTTTGGAAAGGTGAATGGGCAGAAGGGAAAGTCACCCACAAAATTCCTTATTTTGTCTTTCTGCTTGATTTGCATAAAGCAACATCACAACTCACAGCTGTAAATGGACCGCAGGGGGAAAGTTTGGTTTAAAACAATGAGGAAAACCAAGCCAAGAACTGCAAATAGTGACAACTGGATTGGTTCCAAGCACAGCAAATTATTGACACTGGCTGTAAATTCAGGAGTTTTCTTCCCACTTTTCGAACAGCAAAATTAATGTTTACTCTGACCTTTACCAGGAAACATCTCCAGCAGCCTCCCAACCTTCAGGAACCACTCAGTGTCACCACCAGATTTATTTTCTTCCTTTTTTGGGGTTCTTTTGAAGCCTGTAAGCCAGAGCTGCTCCTGGATTGAAGCCTCGACAGGATCATAAATAACTCCCTTGCCTCGTGTTGCGTTTTTCCAACCCTAATTGCCTTTGGCTTGCAAAAGACGTGATGCTCATTCCATCACTCCTGGCTGAGGTTCTTGTTGTTCAATGAGATGTTTCTGTGGAAAGATTGCTGGAGGTAACTGGAGCTTAGGGAAAAACTGGGAAATTTGGGGGGTTTCTGCTATTTACTCTTCTCTTATCTCATCGATGAGATGGAGCACGGGGTGTATTTATGGTGCCTGGAGATAAGAGCATGTCCCTCAGAGGGTTTCCATCAGGGGGCACGGGAGTCTGGCAGAGCCCTCGGTGCCTGAACCCTGCCAGAACACACCAGGGAAGTCCTGCAGCCACAGGAGCCAAATTTTGGGGTGTGCTGAAATGCACAGGTGGGGTGGGCCAGCCCAGCAGGGCCAGGAGACACCAGAGACAGGGGCTTCAACAGGGGAGTTCCATTCAACAAAATCTCCTGAGGTTACAAATTTGGCTCATGATGTTAGCAAAGGTAAGACACAGAGCTTTATTATTGTTATTGTTATTATTATTATTTTATCTTTATCTCCTCTGTCTGTGACAGCAAAGATTGAGGCACTCAGGACATGACCCAAGCCAAGGACAAGTGTCCCCTGCCCTGCTGTCCCCTCACTGGCCAGGGTGGAGCTCTGGCACAGGGAGCTGGGAGCACTCCTGGACACGTCCTCAGCTTGGCTTTGGCACCTTCAGGCAGGGACCCAGGGCTCCAGCGACACCAGAGCCAGGGAAAATGTGCTGTTCATGAACAGAGACTGAAAATCTCACTGTGCTGAGCTCAGGAATCCCACATCCTCTAAAAGTCCTGTGCAATCTCCCCCTGGAGCTCTCGGAGTTTGCTGGAGACAGACTCACATCAACAGGGGAGTTTCATTGAACAAAATCTCCTGAGGTTACAAGTTTGGCTCATGATGTTAAGCAGAGGGGAGACATGGAGATTTTGCTTTATTATCTCTTTGTTTTTCTCCTCTGTCCATGGAAGCAGAGCCATGGGCAGCAGCAGCAGCACAGAGCAGGGGCAGGCAGAGGAAAGGTGCCAGGACATTTGCCAGGCTGAGCATTTCTGGCACAGCCAGAGGAATTCAGGCCAGGGAGGGAACCTGGGGATTGCTCAGCCTGGAGAAGAGGAGGTTGCATGGAGACCTCACAGCACCTGCCAGTGTCTGAAGGGGTTTTATGAATTATTTCCATGACCCCTCTCTAAATCCTGAGGTGTGGGGAGCCCCAGGCACCCGGGTCCCACCTGTTTCCTCAACAGTACAAACGATTCCAGGGCAATTACACACAGAAACCTTGAAATGAAACATTTCCCCATCCAAGGGCACAACATCTGCAGTCAAAAGGTTCCACAGCCTCTCCCTTCCTGTACAAACAGCATCCCACATAGGGATTAATCATTCCTCAGGAACAGCACGACTGCTTTTGGAGCTGCTGGCACCTCTCCCATCTCCTCCAGAGCAGAGAACTCAACACTGCTTGAGTCATCTTCCCAGGAGCTCTCTTCAAGCCTGTACTCATCACCTCCCAGGTGAGCAGACTTTTGATTTTCAGCTCCCAGCACTTTCACTTTTCCAGTCTGGGCCAAATCAAATCTCCCAAAGAGGAGGAAAACAGCTGGCACTGGTGGAGTGTAAACCTGCCCCAAGCAGCACAGCTGGCCAGGGCACAGCTGAACCACTTGATTTGCTCCCTTTTGCTGTAATAGCAAATTTGATTTGTTATCCTGTTCTCTGGAGCTCAGCAATATTCATCAGCATTTAAGATTAAGAATACCAAAAGTAAAACCAGAAAAAAAAAAAAAAAAAGAAAAACCACAATAAAATCAGATCGCTGGCTGAACTCACATTCCTTTTTTAGTACGAAATCTCCTTTCTGAGAATTCCTCTATTAAATAAAACATTTTTCTGGCCTCTCTGTCCATTTTGGATATGAATTTCCGAGGAGGGAAGTGGCAAAACACCCCTGAAGCAACAGCCCTGGTGCCTGCCCAGGAGCTGTACCCTGAACTTCTCAGGTGCAGAGCAGGCCAGGCCAAAAATTGTTTCCAAAATGCCACATTTACAATGAAAAGGGCTTAAATTCACCACCTATTCTCTTTCCTTCAGATGCAAAACTGGGGTTTTATCTGCATCCTAGCAAGGTGCAGGAAAAGAGGGAAACACAATCCAACAAAAGGGAGGATTAATGAAACAGGGTTTCAGCAGCTCATGGAGCCACCTGATGTTAAACACAATATTAACAACAAATAAAAATTAAAAAAAAAATCACTTTTCTGTGCAGAATCAAACCAGGAGCTGAGATCTAGACCAGGTCTGGACCCAAATATTGTTCTGTTGAAGTAATCAGGGTGGTTGGGCAGATGAATATATCTTTGCTCACTGATTTGTCCCTCAGCCTTACACGAGCTGGATGTTCCCAACATTTTGGAGCCAATTAAATTCCCATACAAATATCCAAAATTGATGGCACTGGAAGAAAACACGTGGGGCTTTCCTTCAGGGACAGGTGACAACAGCTGCACAGCTGAAATCAGATCCAGAGCAGCTGTGGACAAAAGTTAAAGGTGAGAAATAAATTTGAGTTCTGTTCTCAGTGAAACTCCACCAATGATTCACCCATGAAAGGGAATCAAAGGCATCAAGACAGAAACAGGGATTCAGCTGAGGGACCCAAAGCTCTGCTCACATCCATAACCTAAATCAGGACCCACCATGAGGAAATTTCTTTCTGGTGGCACTTTTAATTTCCAGGAGTGGTTGGAAATTTTAAAGCTGCCTTGTACAAGCAAGAATTTCTCCAAGTAAGTTTGTGCCTGCTCCTCCCCAGCATTAACTGAATGAAATGAGCATTTTCCCTTGGCCTGGCTCTGGCATTGCTGCAATTATTCATGAGGCAACAGCTTGAACCACTTCCAGCTGAAATTATATAAAGTTGTGCATAATGAAACCTCTATCAGCTCTGAAGCAAAGGATTTAATCTTTATTATACCTGCAGGGACTTGAAGTTCTGTATTGAAACGTAGAGAGGGAGATGGGCTAAAGAAACTCTTGATGAACTTGAATATGTTTCCAAGGAGTGTAGAAAATTCCTGGTGTCCTTCCCTAGAACACCCCAAATAAAGCTCATTTGGAAGTGGTAAATACTTCTCTTTAAGAGTATCAGGCTCTGAAAGAAATTTTGGCAGCATTGCCAAGCACCCACCCCAGGATGGAGCAGGCTCAGAACCCCTGGTTCATGGATTCCATTCCCTGTGAATGTTTTCCCTGCTGGATAAGAGAGGGGACATCCTAATAACTGGTAAATTCAGTTCTGCTTTAGCACGAGAATGAAAAATCACATTTCTCACCCTCCTCAGGGGACTTTTCCATAATTAAATGAAAAGCAGCACTAAATAACCAAACATGTGTCTCGTCTCTGTTCCTTTGGCATTGACAGATGTTCCTGTTTCAGTCCTGCAGTGAAAAGAAAGCCGAGCTCCACTCAGATTTTGTTCTCTAAATGCATCACAAATGCCAACAGATGTCAACGCAAACCTTCCCAGATCCTTCCTGCAGGTCCCTTCTGTAAACAGCTCCTTCTGGGAGGAATCTGGCCATGAGATCAGCAGTGCTGGGAATCCCCATATCAGAGGGAGCTCAGTGGCTCTATCCCAGCAGAGAAATGTAGGAAAGGAGGAGGAATATTTGACTTTGGGCTGAGAGGAATCAGATTCTTTGTCATAGCAGAGACAGAAAATGACACCTGTTTCTTCTTCCATCATAATCTTTATTGCACACAGCCTGTATTTGTGTGGTTATCAGAATTGCTAAGCAGGAATTCCTTAATTCCTGGTCAGGAACTTGATTCACTGGTTGGTAACGGTGAGTGCACACATCAATCAAAACTTTCTCTCTGACAATGTTTACATATTTTTCCTACTGATTCTCATGGGACAGATCCCTCGTTACTACAGGTGCACTCGTTTTTCTCCCCAGGAATAGTTTGTTATGTTAACAAAATCTTCATTCTCAAGACGTTTTTGCGTGGGAATTTATCAGGCCAGCTGCTAGCTCTGCTTAGCCAAAATAACAAGGCCTGAACCATGATTTTACAAGGCCTTTCTTTGGTAAGGTTTGACCTATGTGTGACAATTCCCCTCCCCAGAACCCACAGAAGGAAGGGGAGATGGGTCAAGGGAGGAGACAGAGACCCAAAGGCTGCCCAGAGAAGCTGCATCAGCACCAGAGCTGATGTTGTAACCCAAAAGCTGCCTTGCCTTTGACCTTGCCACAGGGACACCCACGTGTAATTCCAGTTGGAAATCGGTGTCATTCCCATGTTCCTCACAGACCAAGCTGGGGTTTACATCCCCAGGGTTGAGTCTGCAGGAGAAAGCTCATGGAAAATCTGAGTTTCTTGCCCACAAGGAAGAAAACAGACTTGTTTAGGGAAGTGGGGTGGGAAGCAGATAAGCCTGCCCTAAGCACTGAGCGATAAAGAGGATATGCAGAGGCAAATGTTTAGAGCTTCTCAAACAGGAAAAGCAGGGGAAGATCGGAAGGAAAATGATACATTTGAAATGAGCTGGCTTTCTAGTGTGCTATTTGAATAATTTTCACATGATGTAAGGCAGAAGTGACATGGTTTGTTCCTTCTGTGATGAGGAAATTGTGTTTTTTAGGATGACGCTCTCTGTTTGCTGCCACGTGGAGTCTGGGCCTGTTATTGAAGGTGATGCAGGGATATGAGGGCACGGAGAGGATTCAAAATCCTGTTCCAAAGCACAGAGATCACTGACAGGTTGGTGCTGGGCCAGAGCCACAGCCCCTCTCTCCAGAATAACCCTTCCCACCCAGATTTCTGTGCAGGATGGGAAGAGCCAGCCCCTCCTGCCCCAGGTGCACAAGCTCCACAGAGGTTCTTTGGTCTAAAAGGTGAATTAACCATGGGAAATAGGGGAGCTCAAGGCTCCTGAGCTGCCCACTGTGAAGTATCAGGTCATGCTTGAAGGAAACACCATCAGGGAGCTTCCAGGAAATTTAAGGAATCAGCACTTCCCAAAAAAAGTTACACTTTCCCTCCCTTTCACCCCAAATTTCTGTCTGGCCTTTTGAGTTAGCAGTTGGTGGGTGAAGCATTGATCAGAGACCTCTCAGGTGTCCCAGGAAAAACAGTCCTGGGAAGCAGAGCTGTGTTCCTGGCCTGGGGAATTTGGGCAGTCTGGGATGCAGATCCAGGCCCTGGCCTGTTCTTCTCTGCTCTCCCATTAATCCTTCTGGCCGTGGCTGCCTCTGGAGCCCAGGAGGGGAGGCTTTAATGGGGATCCAGCTGCTGGAATGGCTCTGAGTAATAAAGGTCTAATTTTGTGTGTTCCAGACAGGGCATCCAGACACAACAGAGCCGCTCCTGCAGGAGCTCAGGAAAGGAGGAAGCACAGCAGGATAGGAGTGATAAATCCTGTGAAGGGGTCATTACTGTAACGAGATTACAAAACAAGCCAGCTGGTCCTTAACCTTTAATCCTGGCTGAAGGAGGAAGGCAGAGCGTGGGCTTTGCCAGGAGCTGTGCACGCTCTGGGCCTGTGCCCTGACATCTGGGAAGAGGCGTGGATGGTGCAGGACCGGCCACAGCCCCTTCTCCCTCAGAGAGAGGGGTCCCAGCCTGGAATCCAGCTCACAGCACAGCAAGAAGAGGATGAGTTGCTCCTGTCTGAGCTGCCAGTTGTTCTCAGTGTCCTCCTCACGGGGATGGAAAGAGGAGACTGGAGAGGGCCCTGGCCTGTGGTGTGATTCATTCCCAGCGTGGTGATATCGCCTTGCCTTGGAAGTGCCAGATCAAGAGATTCAGAAGCTCCTGAAGCTGGGATGTGTGGCAAATCCAGGCAGTCACAGCTAGGAAATCGTCTCTGTGCAAATCTGAGTGGGTTTAACAGACACCAGAGCTGTACAATTACTGATATTGCAGTGGGCTGCAGTTTCACAGGCCTGCTCAGGCAGCACACGAGTGAGGAGGTGACAGTGACACTGCCTTGTCACAGGCATCACCAGGACACGGCAGGGATGCTTTGTTCCCCTTGTTCCCCATCTCAGCCCCTTCTCTTTGGGCTGGGCCCCTCAGCCACGGCTCCCCTGGCTGTGTCAGCATCATCTCGGGGAATTTCACTGCCTTTCACCCTCTGCAGCACCAACTTGTCCCACCACTTGCACATCCTGCCACAGAAACTCCCTGCAGCCCAAGGCGAGGAAGGGCTGGTGGCTGAATGTGAATAAATGTGAATAAATGTGAATAAATGTGAATAAATGTGAATAAAGAATAAAAGTGAATAAATGTGAATAAAGGCTCCCAGACAAGGATGGGTGCCAGCCACGCTCGTGGCCAGCGCTGTCACAGCAGCTGCACCTTGTCCCTGTCTGCAGGAACAGCCATGAGAGCAGGGTTGCAAAACCCCTGAAGAGGAACTGCTCTTTTCCTGAGTTCCAGGCAGCTGGCACAGAAAGGGGAACCTGGGGAGAGCAGGAACCTGGCAAACACAGAAATGCCACAGAGAGTGGGAGGAGGTGAAGCTGAGCTTCATTATTTTAGACATTAGATTATTTTTTATTATTTATTATTAGATTATTTTAGGACATTAGAGTCCTGCTCCTGGGGAGGAAGAACAGCACAGCTGGAAGAGTTTGCAGCCAAAGAGGGGGTTAGAACTCCAGAGCTGAGTTTTGCTGGGCTGATGGAAATGTGGAAAATGTGGTGCCCTGACAGTCACCCACAGCAAAGGAGTCACTGCAGAGGGAGAGGTTCAGCAGGAGATACAATCAGCCAGCCATCAGCTCGAGGGCTCAGGAAGCTGATGGAGCTGGATCTTCTGCAGACTAAGAAAAGCTGAATGAAGTCATCCTTTTACATGTGAAATGACTTCCTGAGTTAGTAGGGCAGGCTGGAGGCTGCAGCAGTGTTGGTCTGACCCAAGAGGAGGAATCTGCCAGGAGAAGGCTGAGTGAAACCATCCCCGGCTCAGGCATTTTCCGGCAGTGGCTTTCCAGCTGGGCTATGGAATGTTGGGAATGTTAATGGCAAGGGTGCTGCTCTATTAGTCACACCTCCAGCAGGTGACAGAGCACAGGGCCTCTCTTGGAGGGACCTCCACGGTTTCCAGGCAAAAACTGCAGGGAGAGCCACAGTGAAATACTCTGGACATAAATAATACATAAATACATAAATCCTGGAGCCCTCTATCTATCCCTCCTTTTCTGGACCATGTAAATCTTGGAACCTTTTACATCCCTCCCCCTCTGCTCATATAAATCCTGGAGCCTTTCATCTCTCCCTTTTCCTCTGGATCCTATAAATCCTGGAGCCTTTTATTTACTCCCTCTCTGGATCATATAAATCCTGGGGCCCTTTATCTACTTCCTCCCTGGATCGATCATGTAAATCCTGGAGCCTTTTATATGCATTCCTCTCTGGATCCTATAAATCCTGGCATCCTTTATCCCTCCCTCTCTGGATCCTATAAATCCTGGAGCCCTTTATCCCTCCCTCCCTCTTCCCAGACATTTGTGATGCTCTAGCCAAGCTCCCAGCTCAGCGTGGGGCACATCCCTCACAGTTGGTGCAATGCTTTATTTCAGTTCTTCCCTGATTTAACACCAGCACAAAGCTCTGAAACAACTCAGGTGGCCAGAGAAAAACAGGGATTGCTGCAAATCCTGCTCCTGATGCTCAGCTCATAAATTGGCTGCAACAATATTTTGGTTATGAAAAAGAAGCAAAAATAAAGCTTTGCCATTGATCTCAGTGCTGCTTTTCTAAGCAGAGAACTGAGTTTTGCTTAGGCCTGCCACTGAGCAAAAAGGGAAAAACAATCACTAGAGGCCTGGATGAAGCTCCTGATGTCGATATTTCTGATGAAGATGAATTTTGTTGGTAAAAGCAAAGTTCCAGGCCTGAGAAAAAGGAGCCCCAAGCCATTAACATTGATGGAAGTTGGGCCAGCAGGCTCCTGCAAGGGGAGGTGGATCCAGGAGTGGGGAAGGATGGGAGGTGGAGAGGCTGCAAGTGAAGCTCCAGGGGTCTGTAGGAGAAATGAAGAGAAAGGGGAGGAAGGGAGAGGGAAACAACGCTCAAAGGAAGAAGTTTTTTGGGATTCTGGGGATCAGCCTTTCTTCAGGCACCTGGAAAGGAACACAGATGATAAAAGCAGCTGCCAAGGCTTGAAAATCAGCCTGTCTTTGGGTCAGGAGGGGCTGGGCCCTTCCCCACAGGGTGAGAGCCCAGCAGCAGGGAGGGACAGTGCTGAGCACCCAGACTCAGAGCTGCTCCTGCCCTTTGGGAAAGAGCAAATGAGGCCAAGCTGTGCAATCCTGGCTCATCCCTAATTTGTGCATCCAGCAGAGGAGAGGGCTGCAGCTCCTCCATCACCCTCTGTCCCCTGCTCTGCCTCCTCGCTGGGCGGTTTCTGCTGTTGTTCCCAGGAGTTTTGCCGACTGACACCGAGTGAAAAGCTGTCCTGTGGCACCCAGGCCTTGTTCATCACATCTCCCTGGGATGAGACAGGGGATACCAGGGTTAAACTCCAACAGGGAGATGTGAGCTGGGCGTTGGAAAATGTCCTGGTGGCAAGAGCAGGGATGTGCTGGTGTTTGGGCAGGATGAATTCTCCTGCAGGCTGGCTCTGAGGTTTCTCAGGTCAAGGAATAAAGGATCCATTTCCTCTTTCCTTTTTTCTCCCCCTGGCAAAGCCACTTTGGGCACCTGACCATGGCTCTGCCTCCTGCCCTGCAAGGTTGGGCACTGGATCCAGGCTCCAGCACCTTCACCACCTCCTCCAGACTGAATCCACTCCAAAATCAGCTCCTTCCCTCCTGTCCCCGACAGCAGCAGGAGCATGGGGTCACTCCTGTCCCTGCCAGGACTGTCCCCTCCTTTCCCTGCCCCTCTGGTTTAGCCAGAATTATAAAAATCCACAAGAAACTTTTGGATTGGCACCTTTATTTGGCAGCTTTAGATGGTGGCACTGAGAAACAACCGCATTTGTCATTCACCGAATAAATTTCTATTTCCCATCTATCCAAAAATTAAGGTCAAACCCATTAAAAACTTTTTTTCTTCCTGAACACAGAGTAAAAAATTGGCAGGGGAAGGTCATGGTGTCAACTTAAATCTTCTCACAGAGATTATGCTGCTTTTTTTTTTTACTTTTTTAATCAAAAGGTATCTAAATTTAAACACAGGAGCCTCATTTTGAAATGTAACACTGAAACATTCCATACTGGAAAATTATGAAATACATTACTCTGTGCTTCAAAACAAAAAAAAAACATAACATCAATGCAGAATTTTACAGATTGTTTTGATTGCCCTCAATTTGAAATTTCAATGGATAAGCTGTTGATAAAAATATCTTGTCCAGTTCTAATTAGCACCATCAGCCAGGGGCCATCACCTTGGGCTCTGAACAAAACATAGAATTGAAATTATCCCTAGTGCAAAAAAACTTGCCAGGATGTTGCAGTTTCCATGATTCTCCATTATTATTTTTGCATTCCCAGAGTAAGAGAAAAGGCTGGAGCAGCAAAGAGCAGCACGATACTCCAGATTTGATGAAGAAAGGACACACATCCTGAGGCTTTTCCCATTTTTACCCACAGAGGGAGGGAGCAGCTGTAAAGTGCTCACAACACCCAGTGTGATGCTCACTCTTTGAATTTAATCAGTCTCATGTCACTTAATTTAAGTAAATTTAGTTAAACCTCAGCTCAATCAGTGAAGCCCAAGCAAGCCGAACGAAACGGGGTGGGGAGCTGACTCTGCTGAAGAATTGCAGAATTGTCTGGAAGCACTCAGAGTTCCTAAACTCATTATTTACACCTGTAAGGGTGGCTAAATGAACTTGACTAATTAAAACGAATTCAGGTTAGGGGGATGTGCCAAGGAAGGCATCACCAGCTCCTGAGAGAAACCCCCCTGGATGGGCAGGACAGCCTTGGCATCATCCCCAGGGACAAGGGGGAGATTCTCCTTGCCAAAGCAAAGCTCCCCAGTTCCATCCTCTCTCTACACTAATTAATCTAGACACAAATTAGCACACTTATTCCCCGCAGTGTAAAGCTGCTGGCTCCAGGGGGATGAGGGGATTCAGCTCAGCCCTGTGCCAGTCCCAAAAGTCCCTCATGGTTCTTCCAGGCTGTTCCCAACCCCTCCTGCAGCAACAGGAGCCCTCCGAGCCCTGCATCTGCTCATCCTCTTGTGAGGCTGTGATCCTTATCCCAGCACATCTGGGAACAGATGGGCCACGAGCCAGGTTGGATTTCTGCCAGGAAAAAGTGCTGGGGATGCCTGGGAATGGAAGGGGAGAAAGCCAGGCAGTCCTGGAGATATTTCCTTTCATTCCTCAAATGCCAGGAAATGCACGGACCCATCCTGTCCACACTGCAGGCTGCTGAGGAGATGTGTGCAGACATGAGGGAGATGTTCAGGTGAAATATTCCTAAATTTTCACTCTGCAAACACGCCAGGCATGTGTCTGTGCAGGGATGTGCCAAGGGAAGGAAACCCCCAGCGCTCCTTGCCAACCATTCATGGCAAAATGTTTCCCTGAATGACCTTTGCGTAATTAAGCTTTCAATTTTATGTTTATTTATAATGGGAATTAAATAGGTAATGTCATAAAGGATAATAACCTCAGCTAATTGGCACGTAACACTGACAGAATAAATCCTTGTTCTTGATGACTAAAAATTCCATATCTCACTAGAAATGGAATCTCTTTAGTCTTGCCAATTCTAACAATATCTTCCCAGAGAGGTGGGCACACACTCCTCACACACCCACATCAAAAATTCTTTCATTAAAGAGAATAAATCCAGATCAGCTGTCCCATTCCCTGGTGAGGAAAAAAAACCTTTTCTGCTTAAACAATCGAACCAGTCAGGTTTGCAGTGGATTTTGAGTAGTAAAAGTGTAAAAGGAAGCCAGAACTTGGGGTGCCAAGTCCAGCCTGTGGACACAGAACACCTGACTCAGGTGAGTCTCACCCTGGGAAAATCTGCTTCACACCTGGGTTTTGCTCAAGCTGACAAAGCCAGACACTTGAAAGTGAAAGAATTGGCTCTCCCACTCATTTTTGTGGGTGAGAAGGGAAAGCAGAGCTGGTTCCCTGCAGCAGCTTTGAGAGCTCATGCTCCCCCAGCTGCTCCCTCCTCACCACAGAGCAAAATCCTCTGTGCAAAGAGCTCCTGACCTGGCTGAGCCTCGCTGGATCTCCTGCTCCCTTCATCCCAATGAGTGAGGAGCTGCTGGGACACCCCAGGGGAGAACAGCTCTGCTGGAGCAGCGGCCTGGAGCGAGAAACCTCAGAGGAAACAGCCCCAGAAAGGAGGTGAGATGCCAAAGGGGTGATTCCAGAACAGAGAGCCAGTCCTGAAGGGCTCCCTGCACCTGCACAGCTCCAGGGGACACAGGGAGGACACTGCAGTGACATCCCTGTCCCCATTTCTCAGGTGGCTTTGTGGAAGTTAAACTTCTGCCACTCTCTGAGGCTTTGGAAGAAATGCACCTGTGCAAAAGCAGTGGGAGACCCAAGCAGGGGAGCACTTCCACTGCTGGGAGAGTTCTGCACCCACCCTGCCAAGCAGCCAGGGCAAAGTGCTGAAATCAGGCTGAGTTTTCCCCGTGGGGTTCATAGCTCACCTGCAAACCTGTCGAGAGTCTGTGCTTTGTGTGGTGTCAGTGGCTGTGTGAGCAAGGGCTTTTTCTCCCTGAAGAAAGGACTGAAGTGCATAAGAAAGCTGCTCTGAAACTGTTCCTTGTGCTAATATTTGCACTGTAATATAAAGCATTAATATAATATAATTAATATATCATTAATATAATCTATAATATGTAATATATAATTAATATAGTATATAATTAATATATAGTATGATTTACTATATATCATTACTGTAATATAAATCATTAATAAAATATAAATTATACTATATTAATAAATAATGAAAATAATATAATATAAAGCATTTCCACTGGAGCTCCCAGAATCTACAGGTTGGTGTGCCCCTCAAAAATTCACTTTGTGTTATTCTCTGTGGAAAAGTGCATTTTAAACAAATTTTCCCCCACCCTCCTGTTCTGCAGCTTGGGCACAGCCAAGTGGGAGCTATCCAGTGCTGTTTGAGGAGTTCTCTTTCTTTCAGAAGAAAACTGGAAGATGAATTCCAGAGAGACAGAGCACCCAGCAAGCAGAAACAATGAGACAGAACTAATTAAGTTTTGAGATTTATTAGGATGGGATTTTTCCTTGCATCCTGCTCCCTACTGATGCCTTTTGGGGCTACCCAAAAACAGAGGCCAGACAGAGTTAAGGGAATAAAAAGCAGTTCTGTTTATTGAGGGGCCTTCAGGGACATTTTGAGCAGACCAAAAATGGGCCGTGGCTCACAGGTTTCACACTTTTATAAGTTTGGTCCATTTGCACATTGGGGTTCATCCCCCAATTCCAGCTGCAGGGAATGAAGTCATTTCCCCCAAGTTTGCTGCCCCCAACTCCCTTTTGTTTCCATCTCTGGGGCCTGAGGCACTGAGGTGTCCTTGGCTGCCAGGCCTGGAGAGGAATTGCTGTGTCTGCCCAAAGTGGGGGAGCAGCAGCTCCCAGTGTGTGTGGAGTTTGGAGTTACACACTGGAGAACTGCAGGATTGCAAATAGATGGAAAATATAAAAGCCCAAATCCTAAGGGATCAGTGGTACCACCTGGACCATCACAGCAAAAGCAGAACTCAGGGATGTTCAGAGGCAGCAAACACCCTGCAAAACCCCACAGCAGCCTCACTGCTGTCTCCAAACCTCCCAGTGACATTTCACCACCCACAGCTCTGCTCCCAAACTAAACCTTCCCTCAGGGATATTTGCACGGCCATTTGGATGAGTTCTGAGTGGGTGCATCTTGTAATGGAAAGGACATTTCTCTCGCTGAGAGAGTTTCCTGGCTCTGACGTAACTGGGAAGATGATTTCTCAGTGTGTCAGCTTCACTGCCAAGCCACAGCCTGGTGCTCACCGGCAGGGCTCCAGTTTGCTGTGCCCACAGCAGGTTTTTCCAACTGGCATTTCACACCTGCCCCTCCCCGAGTGCCAACACCCTCCCGATCCCAGGCTGTCCCTGCATCTCCATCAGGGATGCTGCAGGAAATCCGTTCTTCTCATTCCAGCCTCCTCCATCCCAAATGTTCACCCTTCCACCTCTGTTTGCTGTGGGTAAAGGCTGGCAGAGGCGATGGGAAGTGATGAAGAGGCGCAGTGCGCGGTTACCTGAGCACCAGAATCTTCTGGAGTTTGCAAAACCAGGCCGGAAATTGCTCAATGACAAAATTTCAATTCTCTCTCCTTCCAGTCAGGCTAAAAATAAAATAAAGCCCTTGTGCCAGGCTCATTTCTGCTGCAACCACACTTGTCTCAGCGGAGTTAATGGGGGTGAGGATGGGCCTTTACCATGTTGTTTTTCAGCGCTGCAACTTCCAGTCACAGCCAGAGCAGGGAAACGGAAACCAGTGGTGGGTGAGGCAGCCCAGCACTGCTCCCTTCACCACCAGCAGCTCCCCAAAATCCACCCCACCTTCTCCTGCTCAGCACCAAGGTGTCTGCAAGGCAGCTTTTAGCTGGAGGGAACTGGGGCAAGACCCAGCTCAATCCCACTCCTGTAAGGTCTTTGTGTTTAGGCAGGGCCTGGGTGCACCTTAAGGAGGTTTGAAGCTCTTACAGCCCTGCTCTTGCCCATCTTTTACAAAACTGGCATCTAATTTTGTTTTTGTTGGCCTGTAGATGATGCATTCCTCCTGGAAGTGAAGAGTGGGGAAGACAATTTGTTATTTCACCAAGGGTGAGAAGCAGCATTGATCAACCTGATGGATAAATGGCTTGTGCTTCCACCCCAGCAGGGTTACAGCTGCAGCTGTGACAGAGTGAGCTGTTCATGGAATTCCTGACCATCCCAACAAGGTGCTAGGAGACAGGAATATGGGATACAGCCAAGACACCAGCTGGACACCCCTTTTCTGGGTATTTCTTATTCCAGTACAGTGAACTCCCACACAGGGGGATTTTTCTGCATCTGAATGTCCATCCCAACATCACCCCCAGCTGAGCTTGTGGCAGGGACAAAGCCCACAGCATGGGGACATTTTGCTGCAGCAGGTCACAGAATCCCCTGAGCTGGAGGGATCCCCCAGGATCAGCCAGCCCTGCCCAGACCCCCCAACATCCCAGCCTGGGCATCCCTGGAGCTCTGGCAGCCTCGGGGCCGTGCCCATTCCCTGGGGAGCCTGGGCAGTGCCAGCAGCCTCTGGGGGAAGAACCTTGCCCTGCTCTGCAGCCTGAGCCTGGCCTGGCCCAGCTCCAGCCGTTCCCTCACGCTCAGGAGCGATGTGCCTGAACAGGATTGGGTTTTCACTCTCTAATGAGCATTTCAGTGAGAGGTTATTGCTCTGCACTGTGTGACAGGAGGGTGAGAGCTGAGGCAATGAGGTGACAGGTGAATTCCTTCTGCTAAACAGGAACAAGGCTCTGTGGGCTGTGTTGTCACAGGCTGGAAGGAGATAAGGCTCCTCGCTGGTGAGATTTCATGAGAATTGATAATTTAAATCCCTTGCAATGTCTAGCAATAATAATTATATTCCATACCTTGAATAACTAAAAAAGATTCTCCAATATCTTACGGTGTCTGTGACAGGGAGAACGAGGAGCATTCTCTTGGGACAGGATGTGCAGATCACTGGGAAAGAAAAGAGTGGATAAGGTGAGATTGATGTGCAGATCCTGAAGTTTCTCCAACCTTTGCTCATTTTTCTAAACAGATCTGAGCCAGGGAGGACAAAAAAAAAAACAAAAAAAAAACCTCAAGGACACTTCATTTATGCATCCAAAACAAGACTTGGGACCTTGAGTTTCTGACCCTGACTCCACTTACTCAGTTATGGAGTTACCGTAAATGACTTCAGCAGCCACCCCTTAAATCATCTCAGAAAATGCATGGAAATATTAAGCAATAACAACAACAATAAAAAGAATCCACCCCATCTTTCCATTCAGTCAGGCACACATTTACAAACATCTTTTGGGCTGAAACAAAAGCAAACAGCAATGGCTTAGAGCATCACCCACAGCTCTGCGGTCCCAGCAGAAGTCCCCCAGCTCCTGCTCGCTCAGGTGACAAGTCCAGGTACAGGGGACAAAGCTCTATCAGGAAACAAAATATTGGGTGGAAGGGAAATTCAACAAACTTGAATTTGCTTCGATTGTTGTGCTGAGGTCGGGAGCGCTTCCCAGCACCCCGCTCCGGTGTGACCTTCACGCCAACCACATGAGAAAGGGCTTTTCACAGCCCGGGGGCCAGAAATGACTGACTGCTGACTCAGGCAGCAGCTGCTGGCACAATTACTCACTTTGTCCCTCCTGCTGGTTTCCCTGCTCTCCCAGGCTCTGGGAGGCACCTCTGGGTCTGTGCTTCATCACCAGCTGCTCCTGCAGAAGGGGACAGCAGTCAGAGGGGACACGGGGTAGAGCCCAAAACTCTGCAGAACAATCAAAGCCGTCTGTGTTGGCTCATATGGAGGATTTTTGTAAAGAAGTTTTGTTTCCTGGCTGTCCCTTAACAACTCTTAGCATTTATCCTTTCCCAAAGATCCACCTGGTCAGAGAGACACCCACAGACCCTGCAAGGACTACCAATGGATTTGTCTCTTCTGCACCTCTGTGACACCTGAGTCCCTCTGGAGCAGGCAGGAATGCCAGGGCTTGGGGGCTGGGGAATGGGCTGGAAGAGCAGAAATGAGCCTTTTGTCAGACATCCCAGCCCATCCTTGGCACTGACCCCAAACTGCTACATGGGCCTTGCCTGGGACCCTCCAGGACACTCTGAGGAGGTTCCCCTGCCACAGTCTGAGTGAGCTGCCAGCTGCTGAGCACATCTGGGGCCTTGATGGATGTTTCTCTCACACCACTGTGAGCCCACAGTAATAATAAATAATAAATAATCCTATTTTGGGCTTTTCCCCATCCCCAAGTGCTGCCATATCAAGCAGAAACTACCCAAACACCCAGAAATGACTGGAAAGTTGAAAAGCAGAGATGCCTGAAAATCCTGCAGCCCACTGTGGGCCAGGCCCGAGCTCCTGCTTTCATCACCAACTTCCTCTGAGGGCACAAACCACGTCTGGCTCCCTCTGCCCTGCCTTTGCCCACAGCTGGGAGAAGGAGATGACCGTGTTTTTGTCACTTGGCTGATGCACGTGTGGTGTGTCCTCTCAGGGCAGGGACCTCTTCTCGCTGACAGGGCACTGAGGATTCATCCAGGGCTGCCTGGGATGGGAGCAGGGCTGCCCAAGGTCCCCACAGCTCCCTGGGGTTGTCACCAGCACCGGTTGCTGTCCTGGCTCCTGTCAATCCTAAAGGCTCAGGGTGGTGGAATTGGGAATGTGATCAGCCCAAGCAGGACCAGGGTCATCTCCTGAAGGCCTGGAGACATGGCAGACCCTCCAGGCCAAAAACTTTTCCATGTTTGGAGTCCACCCCAGAAGTTGTACCTAACAAAAAGACATTCTCCTTTTGTATTATACTTTTTTGGGGGTTGGAAATGACCTTAAAAACCATCTCATCCCACCCCCTGCCATGGGCAGGGACACCTTCCACTACACCAGCTTGCTCAAGACCTGGTCTTGGACACTTCCAGGGATGGGGCACTCCATGATTTTAAGATGATTCCACAATTTTCTGCAAACCCAGCTCCTGCAGACAAGCCCTGGAGCTCAGTGCAGGGAAGGGCTTTTCCCAGAGCAGCTTTATCAGCGTGTCCCGATCCGTGTGACACCGCAGGGCACGGCTGTGTCAGCGCTGCTCCCTGCACGGTGATAAGGCTGTCACACACCCAGGGATGCCTTTATCACCCGTTTCCCACTGATAAGGAGCTGTAACACACATAAACCCAGCCTGCACTGAAGCCCCAGTGTGTCACTGAGTGTGTGGCTGCTCTGCTTGAGCAGTGACTGCACTGCAGCTCTTGTACAGCACGTGCCTGGATCACTGACAGCACCCAGGGAATTGTCACCAACCCTCAGGGACACACATTTTCCCAGTCATCCACCCCTCAGAGACAAGGCCTGAGGGAAAAAAATGTTCAAAAGGATGTTTTTTCCCTTGGTGTGTGGAAAGAGCCGTGCCTCGTGTGTGATGCAGGGCAAGCAGCTGCTGCTATGGAGCTGAGCATGTCAAACCCTGAGCAGGAGGGACCCCCAGGATCAGCCAGCCCTGCCCAGACCCCCCAACATCCCAGCCTGGGCATCCCTGGAGCTCTGGCAGCCTCGGGGCCGTGCCCATTCCCTGGGGAGCCTGGGCAGTGCCAGCAGCCTCTGGGGGAAGAACCTTGCCCTGCTCTGCAGCCTGAGCCTGGCCTGGCCCAGCTCCAGCCGTTCCCTGGGTCTGTCCCTGTCCCAGAGCAGAGAGCGGAGCTGCCCCTCGGGAGGAGCTGCAGCCCCCGGGGAGCTCTGCCCTCAGTCTGCTCCAGCTGAACAATCCCAGTGCCCTCAGCTGCTCCTCATGGGCCCCTCCAGACCCTTCCCCATCCCCGTGTCCCTCCTTTGGACACTTTCCCACCTTTAGATCTTCCTTTATTGTGGTGCCCAGAACTGTCCCAGCCCGGAGCAGAGCAGGACAATCCTGAGCAGTGATGCTGTCCCCGATCCCCCAGGACAGGGATGTCCCTCCTGGCTCCAGGGCACTGCTGACTCACATCCAGCTGCCCAAGGACCAGAACCAGGATCCCTTTCCAAGCTGCTGCTCAACATTTTGCCTTCAGCCCTTTCCCCCGGCTCTGCTGTTAAACTGGGAATTCCCACTAAAGATCAAGAGCTGTACAAACCTGGGCTGCTTTGCTTTTCCAGCCCGTAAATAATGCTCATTTCCCAGACTGCCAAGTGGAAGCAGCTGTTTGAGCAGTAAGGTGCTTATCTGGAAACGTAAAGCTCTTGAATGAGCTGTTCCAGAGCGGGGAGCTCAGATCCGGTAACCCGGGCTATTTTTAAGTCTCTTGTTTTATTCAACGCAGCTGAATTTCCACTCTAGGCCAGTGCTGGGTGTGGGATATAAACAGAAATTAATCCAGGCCTGGTCACAGTTATCTGCCTGCAGCCCTCACTCCTGGCAGCCCAGCAAGGGAGGAAGGACCCGGACGTCAGCAGGAACGTGACCCGTCTTGGCCATGCTCACAAAACAACTGAGATGAGGTCACTTTTATTTTTATAAGGAAAAAATGTCTTACTCAAGACAAAAAGAGACCTGGAAACTCATTCCACACTCAGCATGGCACCCACCGTGGGAAGAGAAGGATGGTGCTTACAGCAAAGTCTGCTCTGTTGCTGCTGTGAAAAACGACATTCACTTTTCCTGGTAAATTTTAAAAGGTTTTATTAAAAAAAAAAAAAAAAAGACAATAGGATATAAAGACAATAAAGCAAAGGGTGCTTGGCACTCTGCCAAGAACACACCTATTTTGGAAACACAATTTATAGATCATTTCCATTGCATCAGCCTGTTGCACATTCGGAAAAATTCTGCATATTCTAACTTTTCCAGGAACTTTTGCATGGCCATTCCTTGGGTCTTCCCTTTTAGAGCATGGGTGATTTTTGGCTGTGGTTTTAATGCATCATCTTCATCTTCAGTCGGGGCCTTGGTCCATTCTCTCCACAGACAGTAGGTGTTGATAATTGGCATGTCAGCAGTGGGGTCCTCATCATCTGTTCACTGGATGTTATCTCAGCCAAGCACTTCAAGCCATTCCACTACAATGCCTGAGTTTTGTAGATAAATAAATTAAAAATAAATTGTGTGTGTATATATATATATATATATATATGTATATATATATATATATAAACATATAAATATACAAATATATTTCTACATTTCCATATAAATATTAAATATATATTATATTTCTATATAATATATAATATAAACATAGATATTTCTATATAAATATATATTTCTATATAAATATATACATATATAAATATATAACTATATAACTATATAAATATATGAATGTAAAATATTATATATAATATTTCTATATAATATATTATATGTATTATATAAATCTATTTAGATATATAAATTTATAAATATTATATAAATATAATATTTATTATATAAATACAGTAAATAAAAACTATAGCAAAACCGCTTTACCAATATGTGTGTATATATAGATACAGATATATATATATATATATAGATATAGATATAGATATATAGATATATATATGATGTTCATTTCAATATTTTGTGAAAAGCCAATATTATAGCTTGTATTTATAACACTGCTCCAAGCTTCTTTGGTTCCCAGTGTCCTGCTATGATGGAATGGGCATCTCTGGGTGCTAAAATGGGCCAGGGATGCACAGGGAAAAGGATGGTGGCAGGAAATATAATCCAAAAACTAGTGCCAAGCATAGGGAAGAAAATATATAATAGTTTGTATATTACATTAAAAATATAATGTGTAATTCTATACAAATATAATCCTAGAATCCTGTTCCAAGGAGCATTGTGGAGCTAAATCAGACTCACAGGTTTAGGAAGGGAATTCAAATCTCATCCCATCCCACCCCTGCCATGGGCAGGGACACCTCCCACTACACCAAACTCTGTCCAGCCCAGCCTTGGGCACTGCCAGGGATCCAGGGGCAGCCCCAGCTGCTCTGGGCACCCTGTGCCAGGGCCTGCCCACCCTGCCAGGGAACAATTCCTGCCCAATATCCCATCCAGCCCTGTCCTCTGCCACTGGGAGCCATTCCCTGGCTCCTGTCCCTCCATCCCTTGTCCCCAGTCCCTCTCCAGCTCTCCTGGAGCCTCTTTGGGCCCTGGAAGGAGCTCTGAGCTCTCTTTGGAACACCCCCAGCCCTCCCAACCTTTCCTCACAATATCTTTTATATAATATAGATATAAATATCAGGCCAGTGTCTACAAGAGAGTCACCAAATTCCAGCTTTTTCCCAAAGGCCTGGCTATTCCCACAACAGGGGCTGCTCAGAGGATTTGTTTCCCTTTTCCCATGCAGAGTGAACAAAGGTGCTGCCAGCTGGCAACCGAGGAAACATCTCCACAGGGATCCAGCCAGCAGCATCCTCCACACCAGCTGCTCTGTGGGGCACAGACAGCACAAAGGGCAGTCCCTGAAATGGGAGGAAAATTCCTTGGCTGAGCAGGAGGTGGAAAAATGAGGAATGGAGAGCAGAGCCTGGAGCAGAGCTGGTGCCTCCTGCCCTACCCTGCACACCCAACTTGTTCCTGCTTAGATGTCCCAGGGAGAGTGAGGATTGCCAAGGTCTCAGGAGGCTCCCTGGCTGCAGGGGGATGGCAGGATGGCCCTGGGGTCCTGCACTGACCTGTGCCTCCCCAGCTGCCCAGGACACAGAGGGAGATATCCCCTGTCCCTTCCAGAACCAGCTCCTGCAAAGCTCCTACCCCACATTCCCTGCTTCTGGAGACCCTTCCACCTCAGACTGTTCTCATTCTGTGACCTGCCCCTGCCTGTGCTCAGGCTGAGGAAATCAGTTTGCATCAGGCAACATCCCAAACAGGTTTGGGATTTTCCAGGCTTCACAACCCACACCACAAGTCCCCCTGCAAACCTGCCGGGTGTTTCTGAAACCCCACGCTGAGATTTCAGCATTGCAGAAGTTTTGGCTGGCTGGGCTCTCTGCAAAGACATCAATTTCACCCACTAATAGGCACAGCAAACTTGATTTCAGGCCCACTTACAATGCTGTAAATCCAGGCTAACCATATTAAACCCAGGGCAGCTGATGCCAGAGACTTAAAGCCAGCACGAGTAGAAGTCACCTCAGGTGTGTGCAGCCAACAGCCTGGCCCGAGGCCACCCAAATTTCTCTATAAATGTTCCATTAATATTAACAGCTAAATCCCTGGCCTGCCTTAAAACCCTCAGCCCCACCTAAGTTAGCAGCAAGAGTTCTGATTTAATTTGCTCCCAAGGCTGACAGACCACAGCAGCAGTGGCTGCTCCATGATGATGTAGTTCCCCCGGAGTTAATCACATTTATTTGTGTCTCTAACAGGGTATAAACACTGCCCTGGCTGAGGACCAACCTTTTGCTCCTTTTCAAGGCACTGGAAAAAAATCTGAATGGAAACCACCAAGTCCTACGACTTCTCCTTCAGTTTTTCACCTAAATTCCACCTAGTGAAAAATTCCCCAGGAGTATGAAATCTACTGGGTTATTTTCTTATTCAATAAGTGAACTTTTGAGGCTTTCTAGAAATCTCCCACCACGGGGAAGAGCTTTAAGTAAAACACACCCTGGAACTGATGCATCAATCCTTGAGCTATGCCCAAAACATGGGGTACACCAGGCAATTTTCACTTTTTAATAGTAAGGATAGGTCTTTTTTCCTGAATTAAAAGTAGCAACAGCCATGCAGAGCCCATTGTGCCCCTAATAAATCCTTTAGCACAGATTTCCCTCTGGCTCCAGACATGCTGGGCTCAGCAAGGCACAGCTCAGACCTTAGAATTTCCCCAATCCCCGATTAACATCCCAAACTAATCCCAAACTGAGGTGAGGAGGAGGAATTAAACACAATTTCATGAATTAATAACTATTTAAACTGAACAGCCTGAACCACAGGGTGTTTTGCTGTCCCACGTCCCTGCCTGGCCACTGGTTTGTACTGGTGTGGTTGCACTGGTGCCCACGCCACACGAAAAACACAACCACAGCTTTTACAGACAAGGAAAATTTGGGCTTTAAAATTGTTTCAGATCATGTGAACAGTCAGTTTTAGTTTCTGTTCATAACGTGAACGGCCTGAAACCTGAAACCAGAAAGAAATCAGAGAGAAGCAGAAGAGTGGGCAGCTTGTAAGAGAAAAGAAAGGCTCAGTAGCAAAACCTCCCCATTCAGAAAAATAGAAAGTGTTAGGAAGAACCAGCAGAGTGGCAAAAAAGACTTTCAGAAAATCAGAATGAGAAATAAAACACCTAGAAATGAAGATATCAGGGTAAATGCCATCTGAGAGTGGCACGAGGATTTAATGATAAATGTTAAGATGTAACATTCTGTGCTTGTGGGCAGCAGGAATTGGAGTGGATGATAGGTTGTTGCAGCCCGTGGATTAATGTGATAACTAATTTTTTAGAGATTTTTACACATCTAAAGTAGAATCAAGAGGCTGGGGAGTCTCTTTGTCAATAAAATTCTGGTTTCATGTCAGCACTGGAGAACTGCCCTGCTTTTTCCAAAATCCTGCAGCTCTGGGTGCTTCTCCACAGAAACCACAGCCTCGAGCAACCCAACACAAGCCACAAAGTGCTGAGCACTTCTGGCTGTAATTTGGTGCTTACAAGGAGACTGAGCTGTTCTGAAAACCCAGCCCAGATTATGGGTTTCAAAGCTAGAAAATCTGTCCCTGAGCTCTTAATCCAGTTTATGGGTTCATCACAAATGGAGCTGAGCCATTCTTGGAAAGAAACTTGCCAAAAGGAATCTTTCTTCAGTGTATCAGTAGAAACCACGTACAAAGCCCAGGCCAAGCAATCTAGATGGGGGAGTAATTAAAACATGTCACAGCCTCTGTCTGGGAAAGCGAGGCAGCTGCTGGGGATGAGTGCACACAACAGGGCTGACACCAAAACCCACCTGGAGCTGGGCTGGGGTCACACACCTGGAGCCTGCAAAACCTGGTGCCAAGGAGCTTCCACCACAGGCTGTGCCCTGGTGCCAGCAGGGTGCAGGAAACCATCTCCCCAGAGCTGCTCTCTCCCTTTTTATACTTAATGGGAAAAAAGCCAGACCTGAACGGGGCTATTTCCTTTTAAAAGTCTCTTCTAACAGCAGTTCTCTTTCAACAGCTCATTTACTGCCCGTGTGGGACTCCAAAGTGAAATCTGCTCAGCCGTGGATCTAAAAGACTTCCCTTCGCACTAATCCTCAACGATCCTTGCTCTTCTCTGGCAGCCAGGCTGGATTCTCTCTTGGTTGCCCACATCAATAAATCATCCATTATCTGTGCTTGAATTTGGTTAAAATTCTGGTTAATGATGCATGAGAGATGAGGACTCAGCTGACGAGCTGCGCTGCTCAGTAAAAACTGGTTGGGAAAAGTGGGAAAAACAGCCAGGACGGATTTCTGCCATTAAAAACCCACTTGTCTGGTCTTGTTCATGGATAGGAGCAGATGCACTGGTTAAAGCCACGATGGATTTGTGGAGTCTCACACAAGGGAAATTGGAAGTAGAAGAATCTGGGATGTGTTTGCTGCCAATAGACACGAGGAGCACCTGCAGGAGTGGTTGAAAACGGAGAGGGAGATGATCTCCAAGGCCAGGAGACCTTGGGCAGTGCTCTGCAGGGCAGCCTCTCCTCCCAGGCCTCTCACCACCCATCTTTTCTCTTTATCTTAGCACCATCTAGAGGGACGTGTCTGCACACCCGAGAGGAGAACACCCACACACCGGGTGTGGAGTCTGGGCAAGCCAAACCTCAGAGGCGCAGGGACATCCCCACAGCCCAAAACCACCCGGGTAAGTGTTCATGGGGACAGGGACATCGATGCACCTCATCCCAAACCTGCTGGGACGGGGATCCTGGGCTCAGCCAGAGCTGGGGGCACCTCTGCACTCCCCATCTGTGCTCCCAGGACCGAGCTGCAAAAGTTTCTTCCCTGCTTTATTTTCCCTCGCTGGGTTTTGTTATTCATTCCAGCCCCTGGCAGAGGGGAGAAGCAAATGACAGCCTTTGGAGAAGGGGACAGACATGCTTTGGGGTGGGATTAGGGGGACAAGAGGATGTCACCTGCTCCCACAGAGCTGCGTGTCCCTGGGACACTGTTTGTTATTCAGAACCCTGCCAAACATCAAAATACAGCACCGTACACCAAGCCGGCAATGAGAATCCTGTCCTTGCTTCCCAATCTTCCCTCCCTGGCCCATTTAAAGCACACATTTGAGCCACAATGACTTTGCAGATAAAGCAGAGCCCCCAGTTTGGCACGGTGGGTACAGCAAGGACCATCCTGGCCCCTCTCCCTGCCCCAGCCAAGGCATGAAAAGTTCTCCAGCATCGCCTGACTGCGCTGCTCAGGTGTCAGAGCTCCCTGTCCCAGTGAGCTCAGCTTTGAGCAGCAGGCAGAGGATTCCCAGCATGGCAGGGATCTGCCCCACCCATCCTGGTTGCTCTGGTTTGGCTGAGCCGCTGCCAGACGCTGCTGAGTGAAGATTCCCAGAGCAGGAGCACATTCCCAGACAGCTGGCACAGCCCTGCCTGTCACCAGGAGCTTGGAGCTGTCTCTGGAGACTCCAGGGAAGGTGTAGGGCTGAGCCATTCCCTTCCCACTGCCCCCGTGAGATGTGTGGGAGGGGAGGGAGGGGAATTGTGTGCACAGAATTGTCCAGAATTTCACCTATCCCTTAAAGCAACAGCTGGATCCTGAACAGGGGAGGGAACCGGTGGGCAGGAGCTCTCCAAGGTCAGCAGCTTTCTTGCATGTTTTATTGGAGTCCTATTTCCTCTCATCCATCCAGGGCAAGGAATTACAGCTCCCTTCTCTGCCCCACAGCTTCTCCACACCGGTGTGTGTGGGGACAGCTCTATTTGGGTGTTTTCCAGCCCCCTCTGGTCACCTGCCCCAGCTGTGGTGGGTGTGGAGCACGGTGGTCTGGATGAACTGGCAGAGGCAGGGGATGCTGCTGTGGCCCAGGTGTGTCCCTGGCCCGGCCCGAGGGAGCCGGCCCGTCACCAGGAGCCGGACGTAGCATCCACTGAAAATCACCAGGAGCTGCTGGGCCATGGCCTGGAGGGAACAAGAGAGGAGTCAGAGCATCGCTGTGGGCAGAGCAGAGCACACATCAAACACCATTTTCTCCCTGCTTCAAGGACTGTCCTACTCTGTCAGGAGCAGGACAGCAGCCAATGGCACAGATAAGTGGCCCAGATCCCCTTGTGGCCAGCACACTGTCCCCACGGGGGGGTGACACCAAATGACCGCTGGCCCACGGGTGGCCCTGGGGACCTGCCCGCTCTGTCCCTGCCTCCTCAGGCTTGTTTTTGCCTGTGGACAGCCAGAGAGCCTCAATCTGCAGGGATGTCACCTGCACTGAATTCCCTTAGTGACAGGAAAACAGTAAAATAAATCAAAATCACCCCTTTGGTAGCTCCGTGCTGAGCGGGAATCAGGACACATTTGTTGCTCAGCGTGACACAAGTCTTTGAAGGCACTTTCCATGGAGGAGACAAAGGCTGGGCTCATCCATGGCTCAGCCCCAGCCTGGACAGGGGCACCAGGTCCCTGGGGAGAGGTTTTCATCCAAAAAGGACCCTTGGGATCACCAAGGAGAGCCCAATCCATTAATTCCTCAAGGATTATCCTCAGCTGCTCAGAGAGCTTTGACAGCTCGGCAGCACCAGCGCTGGAGAAGGTGTGTGTGGACTTCCAGGTGCTTCTGCTGGAGAAAAAGGTGGTGTCCCCCATGGCTGGGATGAGTTTTGGAGCTGAGATGCCTTGGGGGGATGATTTGGTGCCTCTGTCAGGGGGATATTTCTCCTCACCTCGGGTGGGCCCTCGGGGATGAGGTGCAGGAGCTCATTGCAGGTCACAGGGTTTTTATTCAGGGTCACCCTGCTGGATAAAAGAGGGGATTCTTCACATGGAGCCTCCTCCTCCACCCCCAGCTCGGGCTGAACTGCCACATCCATGGCCACACAGAGCTTGTCCAGCCTGTGCCTCAAGCCTGCCTGGAAGAGAAGGAGATTTTGGGGCTCTCCAAGGGCAGGCAGCAGCGGTGTCCTGAGCACAGCCTTTACAGGGCACCACTTCCTCCTGCATGGTTTTTATTCCCAGGATTTCCCATCCCAGGCAGCAGTAGTGCCCTGAGGACAGAGTTTAAAAGGCACAATTTCCTCCTGCACGTTTCCCACCCCTGAGATTTCCCATGCCCAGCACTTGGAGCTGGGTGTCCGTCCCATGGCCTGGCAGTGTCCACAGCCTGGCATGGAGAATCCTGTCTTTAAAAACTCCATTATCCCATCCCCTGTGTGAGAATGGTGGAGCTGCTGTCCATCCCTGAGCTGCAGCTTTCAGGGAGATGAGCAGCCTGCAGATTTCAGAGGACTCTCAGCTCTCACCCCACAAAGGCAGTTCAGTGGATATTTACACACCCACAGAGAGCAAAACATTTTCTGAAGGCCGAGAGGACAAAATTTTTATGTAATTAACTCAATCCAGCAATTCCTGCTCCTCCAGGCTATCCCACTTATTCCAGGAGGACAGCTCAAGGTGGAAGCTGTTTCAAGGTGTGCCACGTGCTTCCAAAATTTTCCTTTCATTCCTGATGACTTTCCATCATTAAAGCTGTACAGTTAATTATCCAGACACGCACATTCCACAGGGTCTGGATAAATTCCTGCTGAACTGGCCATGGACAGGTGCACTTTATTCACCTCCCAGTCTGCCCAGCCCCCAGTGCACAGCAGGGGAACCTCAGCAGGGCACTCAAACACTGCCCACCTCCATCCCAGCTAATCCAGGCTTTAGGGCAGGACCTGCCTGTCCCCAGGCTGTCCCCACTGTCCCTTACCTGTGTCCCCTGCAGGTGAGCGATGTGGGCTGACAGGGCCTGGAGGCAGTGCTCGGGGCTGAAGTGCACAAACCACAGCTGGAAGGGGCAGGTTAAGGAAGGGATCTCTCCGTGCCTGCCCCTCCCATCCATGTGGATGCTGGGATGGGGCTCCCAGGGAGCAGAGCTGAGGCAGGTGATGCCCTCAGGGTGCTCAGGGCAGCCAGGACCCAAATAACACAGCCCAGGGCTGGCTTTGAGCCAGGAGGGTCTGGGCTAAGACAAAACTCCAAGCTAATGGGGAAGCAGAGAGCAGCCAGTCCTGCTCCTCACTTCCTGCAGCCAGGGTCATTGCCCATGGCTCATCACAGTGACCCTAACCAGATAAACTGGGGGGCACAGTGACCCAGCTGCCCTAAACCCCTTCCTGCTGTCCTGCCTTGGTTTCCAGGGATTCACTCCATTTATTTTTTACAAAATGGGCCATACTCAGTGCTGCTCTGAGGACACTGTTGAGGAGAGTTTTCCAAGAGCAGCGTGTTGGGGATGTGATTCCTGCCAGCTCTGGGGCAGCCAGAGCTCTGTCCTTGTGCATCTGCTGCAGCTGCCAGCACCACAGGGATCCAGGAAAATGGAAAATGCAGAGGGTTAAAATGGACCTGACACTGGAGCAGACAGAGACATTGTAAATCCCTGGGTTATTTGCTGCTCTTTGCAGTTTTGGGACACATAGGTCGAGGTGAAGGCTCCCTGGATTAGTCCTTTAATGGACTATGCTGGCTTGAATAAAAGTGGAATGAAGGTTTATAAATGTGTAATTCAGGTTTTTAAGGGTCTCCTCCTCCTCCTCCTCCTGAATGACTTTGCCCTCCTGCAGTTGTTCCCTGTCCCTTTCACCCTGGTTTCCCTCTCCATTTTTATTTCCAGTCTCTCTCTGTGTCTCTCTCACCTTCCTTTAACACCTTCACGGAGCCTTAAAACTCTCTTCATTCCCTAAGACCTTTGCTATCACTCTGCCTATAGGCAGAATCATCATTATCACATAACACATTTTTAGGGATAATTGTCTGCCCTAAGGAATCCCACTTCAATCCTCTAGACTGATTATTTCCAATCACCTTTGGGCATACCTCAATCCCCACTTACAGGAGAAATAAAAGCTTCCCAGTTCCTCACACCATCCCATAGGAGACAAAGCAGATCCTGGGAATCCCAGTCTCTGGATCACAACATCTATAAACACCTCCAGCAGGAGGCATTTATCCAGGAGGGATCTGACCAATTCCCAGCAGAAAGGATACTTGTAGGATGTGGTGTGGCCCATCCAGGACATCTGTAATCCCCAGGATTATGTTGTGTTTGATAAAGATTTCATTGACAGCTGCCAGCCTCACATCTGTGTTCACGTTTAGCTGTTAAAGAATGCAAGGGAAAAATAACACAGTTCATGGCAGAAGTCTACAAACTGCAGCTGGATAATCCCAAATACTGCAGTTCTGAAAAGAAAACAGTGGAATTGATTTCCAGGGTCATGTTCTCCCTTCCATCCCCAGCTGCCTCCTTTCCTGAACCTCTGTGAACCCCCACATTTGTCTGCCTTCCTCTTGGAAAAATTATTTGCTCTGAATCCCCTTCTGGATTTTGAATCAAGACTTTCCAATATTATTCTTCAGCCAAATAAAAAGTGCCAGTGATGCCAGAGGCAGCAGAGGATTCAAGGAGGAATCATCAGGAGCAGGGCAGGAGCCAGAGCTGCTGTGGGAGCACAAAACACACTCTTCAAGGGTTGGTCTGCAGGGTGACCTTGTTGTGGCCTCTCAGTGCTCCAAGAAGCTTCTAGAGCTGGAGAGAGATTTGGGACAAGGGATGGAGGGACAGGACACAGGGAATGGCTCCCAGTGCCAGAGGGCAGGGTTGGATGGGATATTGGGCAGGAATTGTTCCCTGGCAGGGTGGGCAGTGCCTGGCACAGGGTGCCCAGAGCAGCTGGGGCTGCCCCTGGATCCCTGGCAGTGCCCAAGGCCAGGCTGGACAGGGCTGGAGCAGCCTGGGATGGTGGAAGATGGTGGAACTTGCTGAGATTTAAGGTCCTTTCAAGCCCAAACCATTCTATTATCTGTGGTGTCCTCAGTTTCCCCACAGAGCAGCTGCCCTTGTGCTTCCCTGAGTGCTGTAAAAATATTCCTTCGTCCCTGGATCATTGTATTCTTTGCCTGCTGCTAGGGAATGCCCCAGCAGGAGGAATCCTGCTCCCCTCTCTCCCACACCAGGAGCCCCCTCACCTTCCTCTGGTGACAATCAATGACCAGGATCACCAGGGCAGTGAGAGCCAGGGCCACCAGGGTCACCAGCACACCGGCCCCCCAGGAGTGCCCCAGGGAACACAGCTGGAGCGTGGAGTAAAGGTTTGTCCAGAGAGAGATGTAGAAAACCTGGGGAAAAAAAAAAAGAGAGACTGGTGAGAGTCACAAACCCATGAAAGTGAGAAAAGTCACATGAAGAAGAAAATAGCAGTCCCTTCTCCCTTATAAATTAAATCACATGAGATTTTTCACAGGGTGAGAAAGGACAAAACTTCTTTCCAGTAATAAATAGAGGAAAGAAAGGACTGGAAGGACTGAGTGAGCACTAGTTTATTTTAAAAAATCACCACTCACCAAAGACAAAGAGTGAATTATTAATGATGATTCATCCCTAGGAAGGATTTCAACAGAGTTCTTCCATTTAGATAAGAAATGCACTCACTGAGGCATATTGATAATAATTCTCAGAGTCCCTGGGTTTAGAAAGTTCCTGTTTCAAGGAGGTGCAGAGACCACTCCATTACGCTCAGCCAGTGGGCACTGACACAGAGCTCAAGGACTGGGTTAAAGTCAGGGAAAACTGGATTCTTTTACCTCACAGAGCATGGATTTAGGCAGGAGATTGCCTGGGAGCAGGTGTGACATGTAGGGGAAGGCATTGTCTCATAATGACAAAACTCAGGTGCACTAAACAGGCACCAAACCCCTCAAAACACTGAGCATTAATTCCTCCAGTACCAATGAAAGGAGAAGATTTGTATAATGGCTATCAAAAAAACCAAAAACAAACAAAAAAAAAGGAATCAAAACAAAGATTTGGGTTTGGTCACACCCTCAGCAGAGCACCAGCCTCACAGCAGATGCTCATGGCTCAGTCTCTGGAGGAGTTTCCTTCACCAGAAGAAGACAAACAAGACCAAAAGTTGACTGATTTATTGGTCCAAATTAGCATCAGGAGCAGAACGCCTTCAGATCTTTAAAATCGAGTTAGTAAGCAAGCCTGTCACCTCAGCAGGTCACCCGGCCTGCTTCGGTGGGACTGCCAGCAACGGGGTGGAGAGAGGGCCCTGCCCTCCATCTGCAGGAATTCTGCGAGCTGGGATTGCCAGGGGAGCCCAGCAGGAAGGTGTCAGAGGCAGGATTTGCTGGCCAGCCAAACCCCTTGGGCACAAGAACCATGGTGCTGGGCCGAGGAGCTCATGGTGCCGGGCTGAGGAGCTCATGGTGCCAGGCTGGGGAGCCAGCAGTGCTAGGCCGAGGAGCCCACAGCTCCAGGCCGAGGAGCCCACAGCTCCAGGCTGAGGAGCCCACAGTTCCAGGCCAAGGAGCCCACAGCTCCAGGCTGAGGAGCTCACAGTGCCAGGCCGAGGAGCCCACAGCTCCAGGCTGAGGAGCCCACAGTGTCAGGCTGAGGAGCCCACAGCTCCAGGCTGAGGAGCCCACAGCTCCAGGCTGAGGAGCCCACAGCTCCAGGCTGAGGAGCCCACAGTGTCAGGCCGAGGAGCCCACAGTGTCAGGCCGAGGAGCCCACAGTTCCAGGCCGAGAAGCCCACAGCTCCAGGCTGAGGAGCCCGTGGTGCTGGGGCTGCACGGTGCCCTCACCACAGCCATGGCGATCTGGAAGCCCCTGGAGCTGTAGAACAGGTACCGCCGCACTTCAGGCCTCAGGACGCCCTCCTGGATCAGCCTTTTCCACGGATCTGCTGGCACCTGCCCGGGAGAAAACACAAAACCAGAGCCACCCTCCTGTTTGGGTTCCCAAACCCAGCAGAACCGGACTGGGCAACCCAAATCTGTGTCCCAGATCCAATCCCATCCTCAGAGCTGCCAAAACTTGTGCTCCTGCCTCAGCTGCAGAGTAAAACCTGCCTGGGAAGGGCAGGGTAAACCACAAGGGAAGAAAATGCCTTCTTGTGATGAAGGACAAGACAAGGCAGATGTCCCAGGGATGCTCTGCCCTATCAGAGTGAATTTTAAGCAAAATTCGCTCCAAACTATCTTCAAAGTGTTTCTTTACGGAGGTTTAAGCCAACTTCATCCCAGTTGACTTCCAGCCCACGGGGAATAGAGTGAAGTTGGACTGAAACTAGCAACTCTCAAAAAAAAACCCCCAAAGCCATGTGGGACGTGGGTGTAAATGCAAATCACACAAATCCAGCTGGAATTAACTCCCAGGGGAGCTCACCTGGACCCCGAGGGACTGCAGTTTCTCAGCACAAAGGTCCATGTCGAAGGAGGAGGTGGGGCAGGTGTTGTCCATGCTGAGCACCAGCAGCACCCGGCCCTGGGGGGGTTCTGCAAAAGCACAAAGGAGCCATGAGCACAGCACTGGGAGGTTTGACCCCACAGCACCTGGCAAAGGGGAGCCTGACAACACAAACCACCCTGGTGTCTTTTAAACTGATCCAGAATCCTTGGCCACTGCTAAGGAGCTCTGGAAGCAGCCTGAGACCCTCTGGAAGGAAACAAACTGCAGAAAGGGAGGAAAGCCCAAAGCCACCCCAGGAGCGAGCAGCCAGAGGTAACAGGAGGTGACAGGGTGCTCTGATCAGCAGCACAACCGTGTCCTGCCTCAGCAATGCCTGGAAGGACAGTGGGCTCAGGCTGCTCCATGGTGCTGAGGATCATTTCCCTCTTGGAGACCCCCCCACCATTACCCACCCACCACAAAAACCAATTTGAGCCATTAATTAAAGCACTTTCCAGCATTCCCATTGCTTGGGAATGTGGCAGGGCTGCCCTAGAGCAGCCACAGACCCTCCAGCAGCGTTCCTGGAGCGTGGCTCTGCTCAAGGCTCTTCCAGTGTCAGCTTGGGACAGGATCAGAGATGCATCCTAAAGACTCAAGTCAGGAGCCTAAAAAGTGAGAGGACAGCCTGTCCTAGATTTGAGGAGCAGCACGGGAGAGCTGTGATCTCCAGGCAGCCCATCTGGCATCCACCGAGAGCTTACACAAGCTGTGCTACAGCAAGAGGAAGAGTTTGGGCCTAAGGAAGTGGCTGGTTCAGCTGAGATCCTGCTTCACTGAAAGATTTCACCCGAATTTCCTTCCCCTTTGCAGCTCCAGGGTTAGCCAGGTGTCCCTGGGCTGCTCCTGGGGACACTTTGAGCAATAATGGAGCCCTGCTGGAGGGTGTGGGGGGTGTGAGTGAACAGCCATCCATGGCTCTGCCTGCTGCCAGAGGGCTCCAAGCCCCAGTGTGCCACCTGGCCTTGGCCACTGCCAGGGATCCAGGGGCAGCCACCCTGTGCCAGAGCCTCAGCACCCTCACAGCCAGGAATTCCTGCCCAATATCCCATCCATCCCTGCCCTCTGGCAGTGGGAGCCATTCCCTGTGTCCTGTTCCTTTCCTGTAGCCCCTTCGGGCTCTGCAAGGCCACACTGCTTCTCCAGGTGAACAATCCCAGCTCTGCCAGCCTTTCCTCCCAGCAGAGCTGCTCCACCCCTCTGATCCCCCTGGAGCCTCCTCTGGATCTCTCCAGCAGCTCCAGGTGCTCCCTGTGCTGGTCCCAGGGCTGGGGCAGCTCTGCAGGTGGGGTCTCACCTGAGCACAGGGACAGAATCCCCTCCCCTGCTGCCCCCAGCACAGTTCATGTTTCCCAAAAATTTCTCAGCTTCAAAGGACAAGAGGAGAGGACTTGCAGGGGGCTGCTTTTCAATAGGCTGATTTGTTCATTTCTGCATATCAGGCATTCCAAAAAAAACCCCAAAGCATCTCCCTCCCCTTCCCAAAATGCTGAACCATCCACAATGTTTTGTTTCTTTCACAAGTGAGATGCTGTTAAAGAGCATCTTTGATAAAATCTGTCAGTGGTTATTTTAAGGACACTGAGCTCAGATCTGCCTCTCTCCTTATCAACAAGCTCCCTTACCTGTCACCCACTGCAGGGCTCCTTCCTTGAAATCACCCTTGCAGTACAGGAGGGAGGACTCTTTCTTCTCAGTTCCACCAGTTTGGCTTTTCTGGGCCATGCTGGAGGTGCCTCTCCTTGAAGGATTCAGTGTTTTCTGGTCAGAAACTCAGCATTTCTCTCTCAAATTCAGCATTTCTCTCTCTCCCTGCTGGGAAGCACCAACCAGCCCCCCAGCAGCTGAGTGGGGAGCAGACTGTGAAACCCTCACTCCCACTGCTGCCTTCCAGGGGATCTGGCTTTCCAGGAGCCACGAGGCATTTTCAAGCCCTGAAAAAGGAAAAAGAAAATCCCAAATCTTGCAGAGACAGCAAATAAAGGCTAACAGCAGTGACTGTGCTCCTGGGGGATGTCAGCACCTGGTGCTGGCCAGTGCGAGCTCAGTACACACAGACTCACTTTTTACATTTGTTTTTTAGTTGAGATGTGGAAAAGCTATTCTTAAATATTCTTAAATTATCCTGGCATCCATCAGCAATCCCATTTTACAAGCAATTAGCAAGGAACAGGATTTCTCCTTGCCAAGCCTCTTTGCCATCACCTTCAGAAGAACCTGGAGCTGGTGGAAATGCTCCTCCTGGAGGTGACACTCCTGCTCAGTGACACGGGGCAGATCCACGGGATGGGAGAGGTGCAGATAAGGCAGAAAAACGCATCTGCTGAAGGCAGGGTCCAGCAGGAGCTCCCACCCAGCAGCAGTGAAGCCTTTCAGGGTCTCTGCTCTTTCCTTTTCCCTCTCCTCCCTTTCCCTTTTCCCTCTCCTCTCCTCTCTCCTCAGGGAAGCTCTCACAGCACTCACCATGCCCAAGGTTTTCCAGGTGTTTTTTCCCTGCTGACACAGCTCTCTGACCTCCTGCCAGCACCTGTGGGTGGCTGTTAAATGCTTGGAAGACTCTGGAGTTTATTTCTCAATTACTTTCCACTCCAGCTTTCCAAAACCAACACTTACTTTATAACCTCTGCTCAAACCAGGAGCCTGTTGCTGTCTCCTGGTGGGAGGATCCCTCACAGATCTCACCCACTCTCCTTCCAAAGGGGATTGTTTTGTTTCTGACTTTATTTTTTTCCTAGTGGTTGTGGCTGTATTTACCCCTTTGCACAAAGCCAGAACAGTCCCTGGTTGAAGAATGACAGAAAGGAAATGGAGGCATGAGAAACAACATGAGAAATTCATCTGATCACAGGTAAAAAAAACCCCAAAAGGATTGAAAAGTCCCTCTTAAAGGATCAGAGTGAGTGTGGGCAAACAGGATGGGCACAGCACCCTCTCTCCACCTGCACAGGGGAGGAGAGATTCCCCTGGGCACGGCTCTGCCATGGGGATCATGAGCACCACGACTACAGGGCACATCCCAGCACCAAAAGGTGCATTCAGACTGGATTTTCTCACTCCTTTCCCTCTTTTGCCATCCAACAGAAAGGAGTGTAAAACCAAGACAGAAAAGCCCACAGAAGACAGAAGCAAAGAGTGAAAAAACAGGGGAAACAAAAGAAAAAAAAACTAATTAGAAACTGAAGAAAAGCCTGATTAAAACCAACCACCCTGCTGCTGCTTGCACATCCATTTGGAGATGGATCAAGGCTCTCTGGCTCAGATGATGAGAATTTTTGGGCCTGTGGAGGTGACAGTGAAGGTGCAGCAGCTCAGCCATCCCCAGGAGGGAAAGAGCCTTCCCCATGTGCTCCTCAGCCAGAGCAGCTTTGCTTTACCTCTTAATGCAGCACAGTTTGGTTCTGCTGCCTTTTCCTGCAGAACTGCCCATTTGGGGATTTGGGTCCCCCCAAACATCTGATCCCTCCCGAGCCACCTCGAGGAGCAGCCTCTCTTCTCCTGCACTCCCAGCCTCTGTGCTCCCCAAATTTCTTCTTAATCTTTATGCAATGCCAACATCCCTCTGGTGAATTGACTTCCTTCTTTTTTTTGGACACCTCCAAGCCCTGACTAAACAGCAGAGAAACACCCAGCAGATCCTTCTGCCTCATTCCCAGGGCAGCCAGCACAGCCTTACCTGCTCCAGCTCACTCCTGGTGCTGGGGATGCAGCTCAGCCTCCTCTTCCTCCTCCTCCTGCCTGTCCTTTGTGTGCCACTGTCCCCCTCTGCCCTGCACAGAGGTGTCAGACCGTGCCACCCCCAAGCAGGGAGGTGCCAGCCTGTGTCCCTCTGTCCCCTGTGGCTCCTGGCAGCAGGGATTACCCAGGCCTGTGCCCCTGCCTCCCTCTCCTCACCCTGAGCTGCAAGCACCGACTTGCAAAATCTCCCTGCTGCATGTGACTGTCCCGCCAGGCTGAGCTCGCAAATTTGCTTTTAACCCTCTGGAGTTCCTCAAAAGTGTTCCCACACCGAAGGCATGGCCACCGGGGGACATTGTCCTCCTCACCTTCAGCAGGGTGGGGGTCCAGAGCTGGAGCTGGAGCCTGAGGAATGTGAAGAGATGAAGAGTGGCACAGACAGGAGGCTCTCTTCTTCCTCCTCCTCCTCTTGGATCAGGCAGGCAGGATTCAGGAACTACAGATCCCACAGTTGCACCACATCAGCTCCTGTGAGTGTTTCTGTCAAAGGCAAACACCCAAGACAGGGCTGGAGATATCAGAAGAGGCAAACACAGATCTCAAGGCTGACAAGAGGTCACTGTTTATCAAAAGGTCATGGAAAGCACACAGGAGCAGGGATGACAGGCAGGGCAGGAGCTGTAGCCCTCCCCAGACCAGGAGGCTGTGCTGATGTGGAGCAAGTTTCCCCTCCAGCAGCTCCAGAAGAAAAGCAGGAGGCTCAGGCAGAGTCAGACAGATCTCCCAGAGCAGCTGCACATGCTGAAGTTGTTTGACAATGCTCAAACATCATGAAAACAGAACTCCTTAGCCTGGGAATTGTGGTGTCAGAGCTCCCCAAAAGCTGCAGGACTCGTGGAGGGTTGGAACAAAACAAATCCAGCGCTGAATAGTTGAAAGAAAAGGAAGAATCAGCTCTTGCAGTGTCTGTGTGCCCTTCCTGGAACAAAGGCCGCTCTTCTCCTGCAGGGATGGGTTCTGCAGCCCTGCCTGCTCCAGAGTTGTGAGTTCACCCCATCACGTGGCTCCACAGGCAACACGAACAACTCCAAAAACCACTCACCCTCATGGGATCTTGTTACACTGGAAACTGGCAACACCATCCAGGTACTGGGAAAAATCCCATAAATCTGTCACCAGCTCCAATCCCCACCCGAGACAGGGCCATGGGAAGCTTTGGGCTCTTTTGCAAACGCTCCTCATCAAAAGTTTTGGCTTTGTTTGCTCCTCACCCACACAGAGATGCTGACAGAGAGCTCAGAAGCCAAGAGCACTGCCAGCTCTCCATGGAAAATGCCCCAGGCAAATCCCTGTGGGACAATAAACTTGAAAGCTGATGAACTTGAAAGTGGATAATGAGCTTCAGCACATCCCTGTGCCCCTCTTGCTCAGCAAGACACACAAGGTCTTGGTTTCAGCACCTCCAGCAGCAACTCCTGCTCATTTGAGAGGAGCGTTTGGATCACCAGAGGCTGGAATCCCTGCATGGTTTGGGTTGGAAATGACCTCAAAGCCCATTTTGATTCCACCCTTCCACCAGCCCAGGCTGCTGCTCCAAGCCCTGCCCAGCCTCCCCTTTACCACAACATCTGGGGAGTTCCCCCCACCTCATTTTCCCAAATTCCTGCAGTGCTGTGCAGCTGCTCGTGGATTGCTCAGAGTTGATGTATTTGATTTCACCTTTCTCAGTTACTCTTCCCTGCAGGGAGGCTCAGGCTATTGGTTTCAGATCATTTCTCCCACTTATCAAGATCGTTTGGAATTGTGATTCAGTGCTCTGTACTGTTTGTATCTCTTCCCAGCCTGGTGCCCTGGACTTACATTGTACTCCCTGTTCCACCTGCTGCATTAATGAATATATTATTATATATTACAGGGAAACTGATTCCAGGGAAATGAAAAAAATCTGCTTTTTCAAGACAAGTTTGAGCACTGTCCCAGGCTGACAGTGCCCACCCACCTCTCCCAGCCTCGGGAATAACCTCACCCTTCATCACATCCTTCATTTCTGAGGTCACTCTTCAGCACCTATTTGAATTCTTACTGCTTTAAATAATCAGACACACATATTTAGTCTGGTTTTGCCTATTCTGACCATGTTCTCTCTGTGTTTACTCCATGTTTTGATAAACTGAGCTCCTTTGCAGGATTTGGAATCCACACCCCTGTGATTCCAGCTTTTTTGGCCACAATCTGCATGTGGTTGCAGTTTCTCCCCACGTCAGCCTTGTTTGGACTGTGCACACTGCAGCCAACACTGCCACATCTCATTTTCTTTTGATGAAACTGCATTTTCAGTGGAGAATCATGCCATCCTTCTCCTATTTTTTTCCCTAGTGAGCCTTAATTAGGAGAACAAAGTTGTTGAAAGCCTTGTCTTGCCCTTCTCCTCCCTTCCTGCACACAAAGTCCTTTCACTCTGCGTTGTTGGATTTTTTTGTCAGCAGAGCTGACAGATTGACAGTCATTAAATATAAAAATTTATTTCCCACTACCCATAAATTACAAGTTTCAAATGAAGAATGACACTTGCTTAAGGCACGAAGTGTGGTTCTTATCTTTTTTTCCTGCTTCTGCCTTTTTCCTATGAAGACTTAAAGTATTATTCTTTTTACTATGGTAATGCAAAAACCTCTTTTCTTGAATCTCAAATTAAAAGAGGGAAAGCTTGCTATGTGCCTGGGATAATGATTCAGCTATTGATCCAGAAGATGCTTTATTAGATTATTTTGAGGCAGATGAATGTAATTTAATACCAATTTATTTTCTATTCCTATGCCAGTCCAAGATACAATCTTTTCTGCATGAAATTAGCACTTTCTCCTTTCAGCCTCAAAGAGATATTACACTGTGCTCCTTCCTTGGATTAATTTGGGAAAACTTTTTCAGCAGAACATTGATCTAGAGGGTTCTTGATAGTGTTTTCTGTTAAGACTTTAAAGCCAAGCCTTCAGCTGGGATCAGCAGTTCTTGGCTTGTCTCTCCCATTATGCATTAATGCAAGAACTAGTGAAGAGAGATAAAGGGGAAAGAGATTCCAGATGGGGAAAACAGAGGCAAAGAGGGAAAACAGAGCAGGTTTAATGCAGGCAGAGAGAATCAGCAGTTCCTGGCTTGTGAGGCAGCTCATGAGAGGTGTGGGCAGCAGGATGGGGTATCCCAGCTGCTGTCCTGCTGTTGTGGGGCAGGACCACCCTGCAGTGTCCCCAGGAGCAGGAGCCAGGTGGTATTTCCAGGGGTGGGAGCCCAAATCAAGGGAATCTCAACCGTGGTGTGTGTGCCCAGCTTCTCCTCTTTCTGTGGTAGCTGAGCAGGCTGTGGCTCAGTCCTGAGGGATTGTCACAGACTCCCAGACTGGTTTGGGTTGGAAAGAACCTCTAAAGATCACCCAGTGCCATCCCCTGCCGTGGCAGGGACATCTCCCACTATCCCAGGTTCTATTCAGGAAAGAATCTCAGCTGGAAATAAAATCTCTGCACTGCACAAACAGTGACAGCCTTCCTGGAGAGCAATAATTGGAAATGCTTCCTTCAGTGCAAAGCTGGAATCATTCTCAACATTAAGTTTCAGTAAAGTATTACAGAAAATTATTATTCTTGCAAGACATTAACACTTTGCATATTCTAAAGGGAGCTTCTTCACAGCACATTTGCCAAAGAGAAATAATCATGGAGGATTTTTTTCCCCCTTTTTCTCCTGCCTCTGTTCTAAAGAAGGATAAAAGTCCTCATTAACCAAGGGAAACTTATGAACCAATATGAGAAAGTGGAACACACACTTCGTTTTTTCTGGACAGAGTCTCAGTCTGTCATTGATAAGAGAGGGAATGAAATTGCTAATTACAGCCTGGAGCAAGGAGGGCTTTGAGAAGCATCCTGCTGGAGCCTGAGCACCTGCTCTCAACAGGGAGAAATGTCTCATCTCCAAAGGACACAGTGGAATTAGCATGGCTGCAACCTTTTATGAGGCCATAACACCTCTCCACATTACAGCACATGGATTAAAACTGCTTTGATCCTGTTCTGCTCGTACCCACCTGTCTTCTCCCCGAGCCTGGCACGTTTGACTTTGCAAGAAAGCTTTTGTTTCAATTTTACAACCCGTTTAATAGCTTGAATTCCTGAAGAGATCTTTCCAGGAGTACAGTGCACTACCATAAAATATGACAAGAGGAGACCCCGGAGCTGTCTGCTCCTGCCTGCAGGATTCACATCCACATCCATCCTGCTTTCTTCCCCTCCCTATCACAACTCCAGAGGTCCAAGAGGTTTTGCAATGCCTCACTGAGGAGCTGCAGAAATCAGGATGTTCTGTCTGAGGAACAGAACAGCATCCACGAGGCTCCTTGCAAAGATCCCAAACTGCACAACACCTGGGCCAGATCAGGGACATGCTGAGGTCCCTTCTCCACAAAAAGCCTGGAATTTGAACCCAGCAAAATAGCAAAGCTGCATTTAATATTTTGCTGGTAAGAGGAAGAAACCACTGAACCATGAAACCCCTAGATGTATTTGTGTGTATTTTTGATTAAAGAGCTAGAAAGTGATGCAGACAACCCCAAAACTCTTCTTTCCCACTGTTCACAGGCACAGGATGCTGCAGGATTCAGAATGACCTTGGTATAAACACGCAGTGACCAGCACTGGACACAAGGAAGGGTAATTACTGTGCAGCACCTGGCTATCAAACTATTCCAATGAACTGGCATCATTTTATTTCCCCTAATAGTCAGAAGAACATTTGTTCCTGAAGGTTTTCAGAATGATCTGGCAGGTAAAGCATCAGACTGGAGCCAAGAGGAGGAGCTCTGTAATGGGTTTTAACTTACCTGCTGTGACCTTCAGATATTGGCTGTCTCTCTTAAACTTTCTTTTATCAATATTTGATGGTCACTCTGCAGACTCCCAAGGTGCCCAGTGAGACCTGCCAGCATTCCCAGAACAAGTCAGCAGGAAGAACCAGACTGAGCAGAGGCTTTGGAGTGAAGTGTTTTTACTTTCAGGTGTCATAGTGCCAGACTTGTACCTCAAGCTAACAGCAGAATATACAGAGGATTCGATACAGAGCAACTCAAGCACCTGAAAATGATCAGCCAGGACTTGCACAGCCAGAGAATTCTTCTTACAGGGTTTAAAACCTGTGCAGAGGTTTAACAACACACTGGGAAATGCAGTTTGGTCAGCAAGAATACAGGTACACAATTTACAGGTTTAACAATTACTGACACAGGCCAGCAGCTCTCTCCCTTTCCTATTTCACAGAAGGAAGGCTCTCACTGAACACTATCACCATGGAAAGGGAGCACTCCTGTGCCAGCTGGAACATTTATTTAATAACAGCACAGATCTGAGACATGGCCACTTCATGTTTGAATAAGCTCTGAATCCGTGTCAAACGAGAAACTGAGAGAACTCCAAGAGCTCACTGAAATAATTTAACACATGTACAAGGAGGACAGGTAAGGTATGGCTATGAGCTGTACATTCCACCTGAAGCTCAGACTTTACTCCCAGCACTGCCAGGACACTCCTCCTTTCTCCCAGCACTACCCATTGATGCGATAATTCACGTGGATCTCGGGTTTGATGTCACACACCAGTGACAGCAGCTGGGACATCACCACCTCCCGGTTCTTCTGGAAGTTCTGCTGGATCACACTCATCTTTTCCTGAGTCTCCTTCTCAACTTCAGTGGTGCAGCTGCCATGGGAGCCAAGGGCCTACAAACAGCAAATGAAAGAGGAATCACCACACCAAGCTCTATATTTTCTTATTCTGGACCATCTCAGACATTCATCTTTGTTGAGGGAAGATTAATGTTAATGTTCATATTTTAAAAAGTACTGCTGGATTTTTTGCTCAGATTTCACCCTAAACTTGTCCAAGTATTTCATCCTCAGCCCCTGCCTTTTGCCCTCTTATATAGAATCATCAAATGGTTTGGGTTGGAAGGGACCATAAAGATCACCTTTTTCCAGCTCCCTGCCATTTATTCATTATCCATCAGTTTAGAGCATGAGTTTCTAAGGAGTGCCCAAATTAAAGGTCCTGCTGTGCAGACAACTGGAATCCCTGGGCACAACTGCACTAGAGAGTGCAAGAAAAGGAACACCCAGGAGTCACTTTAAGCACAATTCCCATACCCCATTCCTCCTACCCTTGGAGAATCTTTATAAAAATCTCAAGCTTCCCTTCTGGTGACCAGGGACACAGCAAGTGGCCTCTGCCACATCAGCACCATGGAAACAAGCCTGTGACAGGAGCAGTCTCTTTTGGACACAGCAGCTTTTAGGAGGCTGTCACCCCTCAGGGCACCCAGAAGCTTATTAAGCTCTTTCCCTACCAGTTGAGGTGCAACACACCATGTCCTGAGCCACTTCCACGGGTTTTTCTGGAACACGTGGCTGTGTCTCACAGGAAGGAACTTTGGGGAACTGCTCCTGCTGCAACTCGCTCCACCCTGAGGGTGCTGCCAGAGCAAGGAAGTCCCAGCACAAGGCAAAGGGGCTGGAAATAAGTGAGTGATGGAGAACACCAACCGCTGCCTCCTTGGCCTTGAACTCCTTCTCCCGCTGCAGGCGGTACTGCTCGATCTCTGCCTGGGCCTCCTCCTTGGCCTGCTTCAGCCTCCGGTTCTTCCCTGTTCCCAAAGGACAAACCAAGGCAAAGACAGAGAGAAAGCACTGAGAGCTGGTTTTCCTAACGCACAGCCATCACCACAGTGTTTGTTCCTTCTGCAGGAGGCATCAGCCAAGCTCCTTCCCCGAGTTTGGTGATCTCAGGAGGAGCCCAGCAAACCATGGCTGAGGTCACCAAGCCTGAGCTTTCCACACTGAGCAG